CCATTAGGAACAGCCATACTCCATTTATGCTTAGAAATAAAAAAGTAGGGTAGGATTTTATATTTAGTAGAACCTTGCTAATACTGCGTAGTGGCCCAGTTTGCCTCAATTCTTTGCTGAATTGATATGAGATTGCTGTTGGAAATATTTTATAGGCATTTTGGTTCATATTGACTTGATAGCATCAGACAGTTGCTGCAGACTTGCTGGCTGCGCATCCATGTTGTAAACCTGCCAATCTGTTTGACATGCTTTTGTCTCATGTTTTCAGTAGAGGCCTGCCGATCGATCGGCCACCGATCATTATTGGCCAATTTCCGTTAAAAAGGGTATGATCCATGATCGCCGATCATTGTTGCCGATCACCCAAACTGATCGTATTTATCTGACTTGGCAGCATGCGTGTGCGGCTCGGCTCCTCTTTCCTTCAGACTGCGACGATTAAGTCATGATCTTGTCCACATGATACTGTTACCTATAGAGCTTGTTTGGATAACTAATATTGCTATGTAGCTGTACTGGTAATATTTTGGTAATATTTCACTAAAATAGAGCCACCAGGCAGTGAACTCTCTTGCAACATGAAGCTTAAAGAAAGATTTTAGATTAAAATAGGTCTACTATGTCGAAAATTTGTTATACTTAAATCATTTTTTAAGTTACAGTATATTTGTCTTAAGGTTATAATTTTAAAGGGGCATCATTATGTTATTTACAGGCACAGAAATCACATACTACCATGATTTATGTCACCGTGAAGTGCTAGAATAGCTCTTGATTATGCTTGTGTCGCACAATTATGTAACCTTAGTTATTATAAAAATGCCTTAAAATGATTAAGTCGTCTTTTAAGTATTTGGTACATAAGAATTCTTAAGGGGTTTCTCATTTGCCCCTCTGTGTTTTTAACAGTGGAGCTTTATGTTGTATTTCTCCTGGGAAAAAAAAAAAAAGTAAAATTCTTGCATTTTTCTTATTGAAGCAAACTTGATTTTCAATTTCAAGTCCAAGCTCAGACTTTGTGTGATTTGGTCTAAACTTAGACACAAATCATGTCTATGTATAGCATTAGCATTCAAATATAATCTCTGTTGTTCACTGGGTGGCTGTAAGAGTGTGGATAGAAGTATAACAAATGTTTTTCTCTGCCTGAGGAACAACAGTGAAACTAACGGAGCGAGTCAGGAAGAGAGAAAAATCACTAGTGATTATTTCCACAGCAGGAGTCCACTCTTAATTTAGTTTACGTTGTCAAAATGTATGAGCACATTGGCGGTGGAGTGCTTGGCTTTGTTACTGCTACATAACAATATTAGTTATCCAAACAAACCCTGTAGGTAACAGTATGATGTGGACAAGATCGTGACTTAATGGTCTCATAATGAAACCAGAAGTGAGTGAACCATGTCATTACATTTGAGTATTTGGTCTGGGCTATTTGCTCATGCTAAATTTTAAGACTGCACATTCATGTCTGTGAAACCATCACACTGCATTATGTAGGTGGGGATACTTTTGTAAAAAAAAATATCTATGATATGAAAGGGTTTTTGATCTGTTTGTGTGAATTGGGACCCCTGTTCGAGCTTTTCCCAGCACCGTTTCATCATTCTTGGGGCTCAGGTGTCTGAAACGGCAGTCAGATTTACCAGCGAATACACACAGAGAGCAGCGTTTATGGTCATTGCCTATTAGGTGTTCACAAGAGATAAATGTGGGATTGATTATGTTCTCTGCTGCTGTTGCGATGACAGAAAGCCACTCACAAGAAGAGGTCTACCATTTGCTTTCAGATGTGTGTTGTACCACACCCAAGGCAAAATTACCTGCTGTGTCCGCTGCGGTGTGTTCTCATAAGCAGATTTATTTTTATTCCTCGCTACTGTCACACTGGTTCCTGCTTGGTTTCAATAGCAGTCATGCAAAATGAGAGACTGGATGTGAAACTATCCTGGATCTGGGATTCTAGGCAAAATCATTAGATCGAAGTTTAAATCATGCCAGCAAAACACAATTTTGTATTTAACAAATGCACAGCTGAAATTACAATTATTTGGAGGAGTAATTAACACTTGTATCATAGTGGGAATTTGTTCTTTCAATTGAACTTTTCAAGGTGTCTTTGGATTAAATTAAGTGACAAGGAGCAAAGAAACATGGAATGGTAACAGCTTACCAACCAATTTTTCAGTGGATCTCTAGTAAACATGTCTGGAGACATATCTTTAAGCCAAAATGTATTTATTTTTCACCTATAATGTACATACTACCATTAATATCCTTTTCTGGGATGATCAGTGGTGTTTCTAGTGGAAATAGCTTCAAGAAACTATGCTGAATTTCTGAATATCTCTACAGAGTTTTTTTTTTTTAAGTTCTAAAACATTCAGGATATTTGTAACATTACATTAGTCTAACTAAAATGCTACACCGGTTTATACACTATTAAATCCCCTTAAATCTGCTTAAACCTTTTTCAATATTTTTTTAAATTACAGTTATGAAATCTAATCGGATCTCTAACTCATGACTGAAAACCATTTCCTCCAATCTCTATATCTACAGCAATTACCCCTGCATGTTTACTGGGTGAGTGCCTGTTTGAAATATTTAGTATATATTATCTTATGTTTGCTGTGTGAAGCTGTTTTGTTGTGCAAAACAGCTTCATACAGCTGTTTTGCACAACAGCTCCCATTGTTCTGAGTTCATCAGTTCCTGCATTGTAGCTACAGAAGGACACAAATGGGAACTGAACTCAACTGCCTGCAGAAGGAAACAAACAGGAATTGAATGCTGCAGTTTGCACTCTGCACTATGTGAGCCCTTCGGTGCAACTCACCTGTGACTCAATAGAACAGAAGAAACCGCAACTAACTCAAGACAACCGAATAAGCTATGTAACTAGGGACCGCCCTAAGGAAATAAAAAGAAAGGGTGCAGCAGAACGTGCTTTAGAATGGTGGGAGATTGTAACTGAAGCACGCTCCTGTCCATTCTCCTTGCAAGTAAAACACAACTCTCTTGTCTTTCTCCTATTTGAGTGGTGTTTGAATGTTTTAGGTTGTTTGAAACTGACAGTGACATATGTGCTTTTTGTACCCAGTCTTGCGTCAATTAAAACTTTTATTTCATGCTCTCCTGGCTCCATAGTGAACAAAAGCCCATGGTGTTATAATCCATGAAACACTTAAGTCAATCATTGTTCATTTGAGTAAAGCTTATTGAGCTTTCAATATCTCTCTTATCGATCCAGCAGCCCTCAGGTGGTGAGACATTCACCCATTTCTTAGGAAGATGAATGACGAATTCATTTGAGTTTCCCCAATGGTGTGAATGCCTGAAACGTTGAAAAATAATCTGATATAAGTGGATAGCTGTGGTTGTTTTCCAGGTTTGTGCTTCCTTTTCCTCTTCTTCTCCTTGCTGGACCCACTCTTGCTCGTTTTCAGCCATCACCCTCCTACACCGGCAGCTTTTTCCATTTCATACTCTTCAGCCTGTGTGCGTTATGGCCCCATAAAGCTGGCACTGTGGGATGCAGAGCCTCTGAGTCAGTGATGTGTGTCTGGGTAATATTGACCCACTGAGGCACAAAAAGACAGCAATACGTAGGAAAAGACTTCTTTTTGGCAATGGTGTTTGTAGTTTGGGACATTTTTTCTTTGATTTAAAGAGGATCAATTGTACCTTTGTGTTTTAATTACTTTCCATGGTTGTATTTGCAAAGTTCTCTTGTCTTTTTGTAAAAGAAGCAGCACAATCTCAAACTTTCAGGTCTGCTTCTTTTCTTCTTTTTTTAGCATTTCTTCTGTCCTGCTTTTGCTGTTGTTCAGAGATATGTGAAAAGTAACTGTGTATAAAGGGGAAATTGTGTGTTAGTTGGAGCACATATGTGTCTGAGGTTTTCTAAATGTGAGGAAATGGGCATGTTTTCCCAGCAGGCCCCTGTAAGCACATGCTGCTCTCACATCAGTGATTTGCTGGCAGCAGAACATTGGCAGTTTTTATTTCAACAAAACAGACCTCATGCTTTGTTTTGTGTTGCTTTTTTATGGCTGTTAAATATCTTTGCATGTTGAGAGTTATTTGGCATTAAAAATATGTCAGTTCTTGACATCGCTTTTCTTTTACTTAATGTAATAAGCGCATGGAAGTAATTGTGTGGGAGTAAGACATTTCCTAATTAATGATTATGCAAGACACTCATTATCAGATGACACATGAAAACAGAGACTCTGGTGCTTAGCAGAAAAAAAATACTCTTATTCTCTTTGGACAGTATAGACAATGCCTTACAAAAATATTAATACCATAGCAGCTTTTATTCTGTTGTAACTTTTGATGAAAACATCAAACGTTTTGATTGAAATTTGATACAGACCAGCATGGGACGAATGCTAGATATATTTGATAAAAAATAAATAAATAAAAATATTGCCCTTTTACTTCCACTACACAATTAGGCACCACTTTGTCTGAGTTTATCATATAAAATTAGGAGTTTGTGATTGAGCTCTGATGAAAAGTAAAAAGTGCCAGTGGTGTCAATACGTTTGCAACAGTTTTACAATTTCACTTTAAGTGGCTATTGAGATGTAGACCTGGATGATGTAAGAATCCATGGTGGCAAATGATGTGGGCAGTGGAGATAATGCAGAGGATAAAAAAGGAAAGGACTAAGCATTCAGTCGTTTCAACAATTTCATCCCCAGTCAATTTTAGGGGGTGAAATTGTTGAAATGAATGAACCTTTCTATGCTGGAGAACAGTTTCTGAATTGTGTGATGTTGAGAGAAGAAGTTTTTTAAACTAGTTTTTAACCTTGAAACTTAAAATAATATTTTCCACAAGAATAATTCTTTTCAACTTGTCCTGACTTTGTATTGAGAACATTGACTATTTTTTAATATCTTCACTTATAATTGTACTTTATTTTACATGGTTTGGTTGACATTTCTTTAACAGTTTTCTCTCCTGTTTGCTTCTTTCATCTGCAGGGACCAGCGACCCATATGTGAAGTTTAAAATCGGAGGGAAGGAAGTGTTCAGAAGCAAGACGATCCACAAAAATCTAAACCCAGTGTGGGATGAGAGAGTTATTCTTTTGGTGGAAACTCTCAGGGAGCCCCTTTATGTCAAGGTACATCTGTTTTTGAACTTCAGATGTCATTGTGCCCAATGACACAATGAAATTTGTTTAAATAGTAGTTGTGTACTACTTAGTGGTTGTTTATGCAAGTAAAAGTCTGCCTATCTCTTTCTGTTTCTGTTTCTTACAACATGGCTTTAATTACTTTATGAAGTGAAAAAAACAACCAGGGATTCTTTGCAATCAATCAATCAAATTTTATTACATTTCAGCTACAAGGCATTTCAAAGTGCTTTACATCATAAACACAAAACACAAAGTCATGCAACATACAATAAAATACCAAATGTTTTTTTTTTTAGACTTTTAGACTCTATTGCAACTGTTAAAGGAGTCAGAGCTCATCATTACTTGAATATAATTTGAGAAGTGAGTGTTTTTAGCTTGAAATTTGATCACTAACTTTGTTGGGTATGGCAGTGTATTTTTTTGTCGATCAAAGTGTAAAGTCCTAAATGTCGTGGTTGCAATTTTTTCACAAAGCTTGTCTGATGTTAGAAGTAAAATATGTTTATGGTTTTCTTCTGACAGTTGCTGTGTCTCTCTGTAGGTATTTGACTATGACTTTGGACTTCAGGATGATTTCATGGGCTCAGCATATCTACACCTGGAGTCACTGGAACACCAAAGGTCTCTTTAGCTCTTTGTTTCCTCATTCTTTTTGGAACCATTTTTGTAAGCGTTTGTAATGACTTTTGTCACTGCAGTGATGATCTTGGTTGATCATAATGTTTTAAGAGAAATAATGCTAAGATGTAGTCTGTTTTCAAAGGTTTCTCAATTTCTTGTAGTACTCGCAGCTTTTTCAACGTTTTCTGTGCTTTGGAAAAGTATTACCCCTCAAATATTCTCTAAAAATCTAAAAAAAAAAAAAGAAAAAAAAAGTGACTTTTAATTGTGTTCACCTTTTTAATCAGCTATGCTGACATGTAACTAATTGCCATCAGAAGTTACCTAATTAAATAAACTCAGTATAAATCTAGCTGTTCTGTACAATTTACAAGTTTATAAAACATTTATGAAAACGTACATGATGAATATCATAGAACTCAGAAGATAGATCCGGGTTAATCGTTTGGATAAAGTTAAAGCTGGATTCGTTTCTAAAAAAACGTTTCTAAATCACAACATGCGCATCCACTGTGGGATATGAACATCTTGCAGTGGATTGTTCAATCCATCTGCAGAAAATGGAAAAAGTAATGTCAAAAACTGCAGACCTTCCAACATACAGCTGTCCAGCTAAACTGACTGACAGGTCAAGAAAAATTTTGATCATCAAAGCAGCTTTGAGGCCCATGGTTAGAATGAGAAAGTCCTAGAGATCCGGCATTTAAATGGGAGAATATGTTGCCATTAGAACTATTAGCCATGTTCTCTGCACTTATAGCCTTCCTGGAGGGGAACCAAGAGGAAAACCATTGTTAAAAGAAAGTCATAAAAAGACCCATTTATAGTTTGCTATGAACCTTGTATGGGTAAGCATGTAATATACATGTGTACTTCATATATTAAATGTTATAATGTTTAACAAAACGCTGGATCCTGACATGACTGTCTTGTTCAAGGATAGTCCATGGCTGCCCTCTCCTGGTAGACTTTTGAAATTTGCTTCACAAGGAACCACTGACGTTACAAGGCTTAAATTTAACCAAAATTCAAACTCTCATACACATTTTGCTAGTCATTGAATTTCCAAAGGCTTTGTGTGGCATACAATTATTCATTTAATCTGAACATTTAAAAAAAGTTAAGAAAAATTCCAATACCTTTCATTAATTTCCGTCACTGTAGGACACTGGATGTGACTCTGGACCTGAAGGACCCACAGTACCCTGAGCATGACCTGGGTAGCCTGGAACTCACTGTCACTCTGTCACCAAAGGAAGGAGACATAAGGGATGCTGTAAGACAATCACGTAAAATCTGTGGGGATTGTTTTAATCATTTGACTTTTTTCCCTGCATGGAAGATTGATGTCCTCCATGCAGTTCTGGATTTCTTCATCCAATCCTCTTTGGTATCGCAGCTAGTAATAAACCTTCCTATCCTGTTCAGTACCTTGCAAAAAGTATTTGTCCTTTTTACAGCTACAATGTCAATGTATTTTAATTTGGATTTTATGTGATCAACACAATTTGTCATGTAAACTGATTTGGAAGGAAATGGTACACAGGCTACGTTTTGATTCAGATAAATAAAATCCAACTCAAGTAATTGCTTAAAGAGATCCCTAAATTGGTGAGGAGAATGTAATTTTAGTGAAGCGTCATGAAGATCAAGCAGACAAATCAGGGATAATGTTGTGGAGAGATTTAAGTCAGGATTAGGTTATAAAACAATATCCTGTGATTTAAATGTCTCACAGAGCAGCGTTTTGTCATCTGAAAATGAAAAGAGTGTGACTGCAGAGCCGTTACGGACATCCACCTAAACTTGCAGGCATGAGAAAAACATTATTGAGAGGAGCTGTGCACAGCAGACGTCAGGCATTTTAGGAAGAACGGCACAAAGAAAGCAGAGTCCAGGAGAACGATGGTTCTAAGAAATATTTACAATGTTAGCAAAAGAAAAAGTCAAAAAATCATGTACCATTTCCATTTCACTTTATGTGAAAATGCAAATTATGCCATTTATGTGCTATTATGTGTCGGTCTGGTACATAAAATAGAAATAAAATACAATGCAGTACTTGTTTGCATTACAATAAAATGTGCAAATGTTCATGGGCCTGAATATTTTTGCAATGTTCTATAGGCAATAGCAAGACTACGTAAGTTACAGTATTATGTTACTAACAAAATTCATAAACAGGACTGTTAGTTGGTAAACTAGTTTACCGCACATCAGAAGCACATGTAATTGATGTTGAACTGGAAAGTGTTGGCTTCCTTTTGCTGCAGCTTCTGGAAACTTTACAAGTCAGCAAATACAAAGGCATAAAAACAAGAGTAGTTCATTTGTTGTGTAGAAAAGCTGCATGTTCAAAGAGCAGAAGATCGTCGTTACTAATTATTTTTGGCCCGTGCCTCTACAGACACGCTCAGTGATTCAGAGTTGCATTCATTTCTGTTCAATTATTTGTTTGTTTAATTGGATTCCTACATGTTCTGCTTCAATCAGGGCAGAGTCACGAGGGACATATTTTATTCCTTTTGATCTGATGTCTTAATCCTGCTGCTTATTCAGGGCTCTGGTTCACAAAAAACCTTTTTGACAAAACAAATAAACTCTATTTAGGTTAAGCATCACTTTGAGTTTCTCCTACTGCGAAAAGAAAACCGACCAGGTCAGACTGATGTGCCATCTCTGTTGCCATCTAGTGGACTGAAAAGGAAAACGTCGATTTTTAACATTTAAACAAATGCGTTTAAAGTATAAATCAGCAATAAGTAGCTGATTTGAGAAATTTTACTGTGAAAAAGTCTTGAGCCACTCCTTGTTTTTTTTGTATTTTGTTAAAAATATATATTTTCATTGTTTGTGTCTCTTTTGAAAGTGGTAAAAATGTTTAAATGGTATTTATATACAAAGGGAATATTAATGAACAAGGTACGAGGCAGCAATGCAGTCATGTGGGACAAGACCTGCGATTAATTTACAGTTGTTTGTCCAAGATCGGAATAGTCTTATGAAAGGGTTACCGAGGTGCAATAAGTGTAACAGTATGAAAGTTATTCATATATTGTACTATAACAAAGTGTAAACTCGTCTGAAAGGGGGAACAGAGCGGACATTTTGGTTTCAATAATAATTTAGATGTTACTGAATTAATTCAGGGCATATATCTAACACCAATTTAAATAAATGTCTCAAAACATTTTACAGATCCAATTTATATGAATACACTCAGACCGACAATAATCACATCCTAAACAATGCAGTAAGGTTCAGTTTATTATACAAATTACTAACACCTATGGCACTGGTCGGATTGTGCCATCTTTGCAGCAATCCCTCATACTAAACATTTATCTCACCTCAGTGTTCACTCGAGGTGAGATTTAAATAATTTTAATAAATGGCTTGTACTTGTAAATGTACAGGTGATTTCTGAGGCGATCCCTGGGAACTATATCAGGCACTTAAGCGGAGCATCTGATGAATATATTGAGCTTTCCCTGCTAATTTGTGGTGGCCTAAGTTACAAAGCTCGCTTCTGTACTCTGCATCATATTATGTGTTGCTGCTGCTTTGTTCCTTTTGAGGGCCTTAACTACCCCGATACCCTCCATTGGGCTCAGAAATCCTCATTTCACATCCTGACATGCAGAATACGTGTTTAGGAGGTCGGGAGTGAACGCATCTCTCCATGACATTTTGAAAGTGCAAACTAGATACCAAACTTTATTCTTTATTGGTTAATAAATAAATATTTAAACATCTTTGCATAAGTTGTCTGTCTCGAATACAATAAAACCTTGACAGAGAGAGCACTTTCTATTGATCGTGATTGTTTAATAAATCCCCTTAACAAGCAGTGTAACGCCCACGTCCTGTTTTCACTTTGACTTTTTTGAGGGTGATACCAAGAGTGATAACAGTAGGTACCACCAGGTAAATGTAATAAAAGTTAATTAAACTGATAAGCAGAAAAGTATCTCTGCATCTTGATTCATCATTCCGCACAATTCATAACATTTCTGATTAGCAACAATTTCAGTTCTGCACTAAGATCTCAAAATTTCTACAAGCGCAGTAAAAGAAAAACTAAGCGGAAAAAAATATGTTTAGCTAATATATCAAGACATTATGAAGAAACTTGTCAGATTCATAGAGATTTTGTTGTTTTTTCCTGTTAGAGTTTTCCACAAATGTTTTACGACTAATTTCTGCTATTCTGGTGAATTTATACAGATGAGGGTTGGTTCATGACTTTTGCCTAGTACTGTGCATAATTAGTTTTTGTGTGTGGTTGCTTTGTAGTGACATATTTACATTTGATGAAAAACATAAAAACAAGAGCCAAATCTGACAAAATGTTTATTTTTTCCCCAATTAATAGCTTTTATTGGGGTAATAAAATACCAAACACTGTGAAATATGTAATTAGGAAATGTTAACGTTAAAAGTCTGTAGCAAAACCACAAAGATTTTAGACTTTAAAGGAACCTTGTTTATCTGTAAGGCAAAAGGTATCGCATGGAGTCTGCAGTACAACATTTCCTCAGAAAAATTAGAAATTAGATAACAGCAGTATTTTTGTTTTAATTGGATTTATCAGTAGAAATAAGAAAGACCAATGTAAATAAAGATAGATGTGCTGTAGGAGAGGTACATAATTGATTTTTTTGTATTTTGGGCACATGCCTGCGTTTATGCATACATCATTACACCATGTAATAACTCTGCTAATACACTTTCTGCTTACTTAACTTGCATGATGGTGACTGCCCCGCTTTCCTCATTTAACCTTCACTTTGCTTCAGGTCAGGGCTGTTATCTAATCTTGGTGCATACCACGCCCTTTACCCTTTGCGAGAGGGCAGTAGGAGGCGCTCTGTAACCGCTTTGTCTCATTTACAGACCATGCTTTTGAGAAGAAACTGGAAACGATCTAGTAAGGTAAACTAAAACAGCATGTAACTCACCAAACCTCCGATTCTGCTGTAACTCCACCACCGACCGCTCTGCACCTCGCCTATCCTTCCTCACTGGTGTCCTGGTACATGGATGGAGTCTCCCCGGCCCTGTCCCTCCCATTCTCCTTTTCTTCCTTCCACGATGGTTTTAACATCCGTTTTTTTCTGAGTTCACATCGTCACCTGCTTATTTTCCACAAGCTGCAATATAGTACCTGCTATCTGCGCTAATAGAGGGCATGCACTTTTTATGGTTTTTGGTTGCTTGTGTAACAAAGGCTGCCTTTGCCCTAAAGATTTACTTTAAGGCAAATTAAGTAGGTACACATCAAGCGTGGAGGGAAATTTTTGAATTTCTTAACTTTGCTGGCTTCAAAACACAGTTTACTTCTGTAAAGAAAAGGAATGACAAATTGTTGATGTACAGCTTGTCACATCATTTCACTAAAATTGGACATGGACATTGAAAGTCAAAAGAATGACTAAGTAGGACTGGAGTGTTTTTTTCCCATTTTATTTTATTAGTCATTGTCGAACTGACCCATATTTAAAAAAAGCTATTTGGTCTTTGTGACACTTAAAAGTTTCAGATCATCAAAAGTATTTTACTCAGACGAAGTTGACCTGAGTCATGTTTTTTGAGTGATTTCTTACTTTTGCGGGTCAGTCAGTAATACTGGAGGCAGTTACTTTTTCATGTAGGTCTTGATATGTTTATCTTTTTTTACTGAAACAAAAAATAGCTTGAAAACTTTGTATTGACTATCTTTGCCTGATATTAAAGTTCATTGAAGTTGACTGTATCAAAAGAGAAAAAAGCCCCAGAAGTAATAAGAAAGGAAACTTTTTCACTAAAGTGTCCTGAACGCGTCTTTGGGTGTGAATGCTCTTCACCTTTGATGTGTGTAACATATTGCAGACTCTGTGTCAGAAAATAAAGCAGTTCAGGATTATCGAGAACTCTTGCCCAGCTAAACAGCTGGAAAATGTGACTGATCGTATTGCATTTTTGAACTTTTTTTCCCCATCAGTTGCAATTATAGTTTTGACTTTATTTTTTGTTTCGCATATTGCCGTACTTGGAATAAAGCGCTTTTGTTGCTTTTGATTGCTGTCAGGTCAAACATGAAGCATGCTGATCTAGACTCTTCCTCTCCTTATTTGCTCGTGCATGAATCTCGTTAACTGTTCCTTTGTCGGCCATTTTTAGCAATAATGTTAGACATTTTTGTGCTGAAAATTGGATTTGTTTCATTTTCCCATATATCAAGTTTTTTTTAAGGTGTCATACGACTTAGAAGAAAAGGTGTTGTACTTTCAGACCTTTCACTACATTTCCTGAAACAGGATTAAGGTTTCTATTACTCGCAATAAAGATGTCTGCTGTGTTTGCCAGGTTGAATTTCAGCACACAAACATCTGTGAAGTGAATATTTTGAAACCTCTGACCAATTCCGATTCTGTGACTAGTTAATTCGCTGATATCAGTTTTCCTCTGCTGCTTACTGGCTCCTCATCTGCATACTGGACTACACAAAGTGTAAAGTTGTTTTCAAACAGCCAATTTTCAGCTGATTAAGGCGTTTTAATTTGAACTTTTAAAGTAGTCAAAGAAACATCATTGGAGCCATGGTACTATGGGGTTATAGATTCTCACAAGAAATATATGTACATATTGTTGGGGTTTCTCACACTTTGTCACATTACAACAGCAAGGTCTTTAGGAGTATGTTTCTGCTAGCTTTGCACATCTATACAAAGATTATTATTTATTTTTTTTTTTCTGAAATTATTAAGTCTTGCTTCAGATTTGCAATTGGATTTGGGTCTGGACTTTGACTGGACCATTTATAGTTCCTTTGTTGCATCGCTGTTAGGTTTAGGTTGTCATACTTTGATGCCTCTATTTATTTATTTTCTTTTTTTCAGGACTTCCCTGTATTTAACTCCATCCATTTTCCCATTGAGTTTGATGAGCTTCCCTCTCCCTGCTGAAAATGTAGTTTTTATTTTTACTTTTAAACTATTAGTTGTTAAAATTCTGAAAACCATACATAATTTTCCTTCAACTTCCCAGTTTTGCACTTCTTTGTGTTGACCTGTTGCTAAAATTTCCAATAACGTACGCCTTAAGTTTTGTGGCTGCAATGTGACAAAATGTGTGAAAAGCTGCAGCAGTATGGATACTTTTGCCAGGCTTTGCAGAAAGCAATACGAGAATAAATGGGTCATGTTTTGTCAGGACAAAACAGTGACCTCATCATTAGCATACAGCAGCTAGTGAGCAGAATTAATGGGAGATGTGGGAGTTACTGCATGGTAAGATGACTTCATTGCAGGGAGCTATTCGCAACTGTTTAATGTCTGGAGAATGGAAATTAAGAGCTTCTGTCTCCAGATCAAAGGCCTGCACTCACGAGGCAGGGTTTGTTCAGAGTTTAATGAAATTCACCCGCAAAACAAAAGCTATGCTAATAAACTCTGCCTAACGAGGAAGGAGAAGAGAGAGAGTGCGGTAGAGACGGAAGGAGGATTTGTATTTGCTTGATAAATAAAGCCTAGGTTTTGTTTTAGGGAAGGGTACTGACATTATTCAAAAAGAGGTTAAATAGGCTTTTAGGAGCTAAAAAAAACAGTTGAGGTGGAAAACATACCTGGAAAACAGAAGACCCAGAGTAGAATTAAGTTTCCATACAGAATAAAAAAGGTAAGCAGTCACATAGCTAAACCAGATTTTGAGACAATTCACTGGAAACCTTTTCAGCCAAATTTATTGTCACATTGGCTCTACTTTACACACCAAAAACTAGAACAATGCAATCTGATATTCGTTCAGGTGCTTTGTTAAAAAGTTATTTTTTTTTTATTTACAATAACTTCCGGATGAGATGTGAAGAGATTAAAACTTAAAAAATAATTCTGTTGAATTATTATGTTTGGTTCTCACTTGTGACCTTTTTTTTATATTCTGTTTCTGGGCTGCATTAATGTATCTGAAGCTGGTTATTGCCATGAAGTATACCAAAAGCCCCAAATTAGTGTATTGGGGTCAATTTTTTCTTTTGTTTGCTTATTTGGTGTCTGTTCCACGCACGTGCTGATGAGGAATCTCCATTTTGTGAGAAATAATTCTTTATTTGTGTGTTTGTCTGCAGTATCAGAGTATGAGGCTCTCGGATGTGCACAGGAAAGCACAGCTCTGGCGAGGTATCGTCAGCGTCAGTCTAATTGAAGGTCGCAACCTGCAGCCCATGGACACCAACGGCTTCAGTGATCCTTATGTCAAGTTCAGGTTGGGTCATCAAAAGTACAAGAGCAAGGTAAAGGCGTAGCTTTTGAACATGTCAAATAATTAAATGAAATCACCTTATGTAGTAATGCTATGAAAGCTTTAAAGATAGAAAGCTTGATTTCATAAATTCCCCATAAATCTTGCCCTGCAGCTATTCAGACTTCTTGTTCAACTATTTTTATTTAGTAAAAAAGTATTTTCTACCTATTTGCATGTTACTGAATAGAAACACAGCTCAAGCATTTCATAGTAGACATAGAAAATCCTGACATGTAGCAATTGGACAAATGTCCCTTTTTTCCATTTTTATCACTCTTCAATTTTTTGTCTTTTCATACCAAAAGAAAATATAAATCTTTTGTGTCCTGTTTTCTTTTTTTTTTTACTTATTACCATAATACTTTTAGATCAAATGTATAAATGTATATAACACTTAAGCCCCACATTATTCACAGCCCTAACGAAGCTTTTAATTTGACCAACATGTTTCTTTTGAATGCAAGTTGTATTAACATTTTGGAGTGACCCAATCTTACCTTAAATCTTATAGAGAATCTTCAGAGGGATTTAAAGATTAGGGTGATGGCAAAGAGGCTTTCAAACCAAAAAAGACTTGGTTTGAAAGCCTCCATTGGAAACATTCAAAAAGGCTGTTCAGCTTTAAGCAAGATTTGACTGTTGTTGTGTCAGTGAAGGTTCTTTTATTGATTACTGAGAAGACCATAGTCATTTTTGACATGTTTTAGTAAAATCTAAAAAAACCAAACATTCCAAAAGGGATTTTTTTCCCAATTAATACTGTTTTTACATTGCTTCACTGTGTTTTGAGAGATGTCTGTCTCATTCTTCAACAGAAAGTAATTTGTTATTTTAATGTAAGCGTAAACCTAAATCCAGCAGGTGTATGAATAATTTTGGGCTCAAGTGTAGGATTTAACAAGTTTGTTGCAATTGTGCAACTGTGTTTTATTCAGACAATTCCCAAAACACTAAACCCGCAATGGAGAGAGCAGTTTGATTTCCACCTGTATGAAGAGCAGGGAGGCTTTGTGGACATCACAGTCTGGGACAGAGATGCTGGCAAGAAGGATGACTTCATGGGCAGGTACGGTAGTCTTCACCAGTCACTTAATTTTCTTCTTTTTTATCAAATGCAGCTCTGTAAAATCAGAGATGAATTAGATTTTTGGGGCTTACTTGTGTAATATTAGTCTTAGACAAAAAGATGTCTCACACCCAGAAGAGCTACTTATCATCCTAATCTAAAGTGGTTATGTTTTCTCTTCTTACTGAGCTGCTCATTTTTTAACCCCTGTTCAAGTTGAATTATTGCAGTGCATCGCATAACTATGCAAATTTAAACCCACTTTAGCTAACTTTTGCTTTGAAGGGCATGCCAGAAACCAAGTCATGTTATTTTTATTGGGCTGCCATTTTAACACCAGATGCATTAAGGCCATGCCAGAAAATCAATTCAGTTGAGAGGATGCTTTTAAGTGTCTACTAAAAGGCATAAAATATGTCAGCTTTGCTTACCTTTTGCACACTATGAATTATTTTTTTCTGTTTTTTAGGCTCTTATCACTGCTCCCCCAAAAGCAAGGAAGTTCTTATTGAAATCGTCAAACACAGCCAAGCACAGTTGGTGCAGTAGGTTCAACTTCGTATTTCTTGCTTTATTTTAGGTGTACTGTCGACCTGTCACTTCTCAGTAAAGAACACACTCACAAGCTGGACTTGCCGCTGGAGGAAGGAGAAGGCGTTCTGGTGCTGCTGGTCACACTCACTGCATCGGCCGCGGTTTCAATCTCAGATCTGTCCGTCAACATGTTGGATGATCCAAAGGAAAGGCGCCAGATTATGCAAAGATATGTGAGTTTGGACAATATGGACATGTGTGTTGAGAATGGTTTAAGGCTTTGAATTGAATTGTTTTCAGAAAGTCAAAAAATGCTGAATTAATGGGGAGAAAAAAAAATCTAAGATTTATCAAGCAGAATGTTTTTCCTTTATAAGAAAAAAATGATCAAAGTTCATACAAGTGATAGTTTTTCTCAAAGGCAATATGGGTTTTTGCCCAGGGTGTAAATTAGTAGAGGGGCATTGTTAGATATTAGAGGGCTAAAACAAATCAGACCTCATCAGAAATAATATGTGTCAAATATCTAAACTTCTATCTACAGTTTTCCTGTATAACCTTTAAATAGCAATAATAATTTTAAAAAAGTCATAATTTGAGTAACACAAAACACTCGTTTCTTATGACATATTTTTTGAACATTAGTTTGCAAACTTCTTCTAATAAAGTGATTTAAACTTGTGGGACATCATCACTACAGATAGTGTTGATTTAACAGGCTGCAAGGTTGATGGTTACAGACAACACAGATAAAAAATTAGGAATTAAAAGAAATTGTACAAACTATTGCTAATTTGGTAAATGCAGATTGTGCATTAGTGGCATAGGTTAAGCTGTTAGAATATAACTTGCCTAATACCCTTGTCATTAAACTTACTTTGTTAGACATGAATAGAATAGTAGAAAGAGTAGAGGATCCATCTGCTCTAACACAAGGCTTTAAGTCTTTGTCTTAGTCTCATTCACCCATCACTCCTTGTCACTCTTTGCTACAAAGACCCCCAGATCGCTCTCATCAAGAGGTCTGACTCCCTGACAGCTCTCATCTCTGCACAACAGCCTCCACGAAAACTGCTAAAACGTGATGCTGTACGACTGGGTGTGTTCACGTCCGTGTTTGACATATTACCGGACATGATTGGATTTCAGTGACCGATACCGTCCTGCTGGTGTGTATTTACACCTTCCAACGTGTGGCCAAACATCAGTGCGTTGACCTACATACATGGCCGTGGTGGTGCCTTGTTGGCTAGCCACAGGAGGTCGTCCGTTTTGCTCGCCGCTGCAGCAACCACCTCGAGTCAAAAGGTGGAGCTCTAGGATCGAGACAGAAGCACGCCGAGTCCCTCCTGAAAGCCACAAAACGACGGTAGGGGGAATAAGCGCACCAGTGTGTGTGTTTTCCAAGAATGTGTGTAATGGGGGCGAGAGGTAAAGGGTTAGGGTTGCATCGGGAAGGGAAGGCGTGTAAAATGAAAAGAAAAAGCTATTTCACCTCTCTCACAACTCGCACAGACCCCGTTTTTCTGCTCGACCAAAGGCGGCACATTTTACTTCCCTCACCTACCTTTTTTGCCTGCCGTCTCCTCTCTCCTACTCTCCCCATTTCTGTTCCACTCTCAGAGCAACCTCAGCTCTTTGTCTGCCTCTGCCGTGGCCTTCCTTTGAGATGAAGGGATGGAAAGATAGAGGGAGGGAGTGAAGAAAATAGGGGGTTGCAGATGGAGGGGCACAGTAAGGTCAGTTTTAAGACTTGAATGGTCTCTGCCTATTAACATATTCCTTTTCCCCAGACTGGCAGTCTTTCAGTTGGAGAATTTAATAAAGATGTACCTTATCAAAGAGCTCCGGTTAGACCAAGTACCACCACTAATATATAACAGTGCTGCTGAAAGCCCGCTAATCTCCCTGGTGTGCGCGCGAGCGCATGTGTACTGTACATGCATGTGCAGACACCATTTTACTGACTGATATTTATCAGCCTGGAATCAGCTGTGCAGCACAAAGCATCCACTACTGCTAATCACAAGCGACCATTCGCATGCAGGCACGTCCAAAAACAGTAGCTACCTACGGTGTGTCAGCTGTGTCTCATGAAATGCAATGTGTCTGTGTCTAAGAATCAATAGTGTGTTATCATCGCAGTTATAAGGACAAGATAGATTTACAAACTGCAGCGAACCAGAAAATGCAATCTAATAATGAAAACATACTTTTGGAAGGTTTTAGTTGAAAGTAGTGTGCAACAGAATTTTTTTTTTTTTTTTTTTACTTTGTATTTTATATTTTAATGGTTTTGGAGCCAGAAATGTCTGTGTCACCGAACAAAGATATTGTTTTATATATTATTCTAATCCTTCCCCCAAAGGATCACAGTGAGGCGTTACTTTAATCTGAGGCCATTGATGAAAGCAGAAAACATACACCTGAGTGGCACAGGACTCTTAGCATCCTTCTCATTGCAGCTTGCTAACTTGTGTTTACACTGCTAAAGAAATAGATATGAACCAAATCATAAGATGTTCAACGTTTTTCAACAACATCCAAATAGCTATGTATAACTCAGTATCTGAAGCTCTGCTTTACCGTTGCACTGTTTGATCTTAACACAAAGATTTTAGCCCTAGATCATCAACAAATCTTTCACTAATCAGTCATAAATAGTATATTAATCATTAGCATAATTAAGTATTTGCATCTTTAATTGCATTGGCCCGAGATGCAATGTCACACCATGTGTACGAAAGAGAGTCTGTTACACAACTCCGCAGGTAAACTGGATTTGAAGACAAATGTCGAGTTGACATTTGCAGTTCCCTTCAGTTTTTCTTGTTAGCTATTTGCATTAGGGGTTATTGTGGCTAGCATTACTAATTGTAACAGCAGTCTCTGTGTGTAATCCTGTAGAGTTAGAAGAAACACAGAGAATTGATGTTTTCAAAAGGAAACAAAGCAACTTTGCTGCAATTTTCTCAGCTTCCTATCGCTAAACGTCTCCTTCCCATATTTACTTCTTACACAGTAAACATGCCTTCATAAAAAAATAGTTTTTTAAAATCTTTTTTGTGACTGAATTTTTACATATTCAAGCAATGATAAGACAGCTATGTCTTCCACGCCAAAAGAGTGTTGCTGACAGCAGACCTAGTAGCAGTTGGGATGCGGTCACTGATTGGAAAAAGATCAGATTGTTTCTGACTTGCAAATCACTGGCCAGTCAAGTTTAAAATTCACTCAGGTCACCATACACGAGTATACATGTCATGTATTGACAGGATTACATGCATGTACATGCACTTACTAATTCATACTGTGTTTGATTTTGTCTGATGCCATGCTCTGCACTGATGTGGCTGCCAAACTGCAACCTTTCCTTCATCCCTGGTTAGTTGTTCCTCAAAACTAGAGAAGGACACAGAAAGAGAGGTAAAAAGAGAGAAAGAGATTTATGCTTTATGATGGCAAAGGAGCATGCACACTAATGGCTCTTAATGGGCCTGAGGTGGCCACGAGATGGGTGGATGAGACAAGGAGGACGGGATGACCTCCACTGAAGTGGTGGCACTCTACCACCCGTGTACGTGCACATGTCAGCAGAACCTCTCCTACCCACTCTGGTGCACTCCTCCAAGAGGAAGTGAAAGGACACAACCTGGGCAGGAAGTGAGAACCAGTAAGAGGCTGTATGACGAGCATCAAGCAGCTTTCACTGAGACTCTTGGCACATAGTGATCCTGATTTAACTGAGTAGGAAACAGTGGAAACAGGTGTTAGAATATGGCTTTTTGTTTGAATCTTTACCATTATTTGATCAAATATCCCATGAACTTCTGGGTGCAGGGCAGATGCAGTGAGTGTGTTTCTGAAACGCAGCCCTGATGAAATGTGACATGCTGCAAAGATGACAGTGAGTCATAAGACTATGCCAGCTCTGATTCGTCTGTGTGTTTATACGTCTGTGGAGTGTGAAAGAGACAGAAAGAAGATGCCATGGTGACGGGCTGTCAGTCACACAGAGGGCAGAGGGTTCATCTTCTGAAAGCCAACCCTATCCATAATCTGTCCTCTGTTTTCTGTTCATTCCTCCTCTTCATTCTTCATTCCTCTCACCTGTCACTCCACCTGCATGCAGATGTGAGGAGAAAAGAGCATGGCTGTTGGTCCTCTTGTCTGTCCATCATCCTACCTGTGACCAATAGAGTTACCCTGTTGGTGTCTGTCTCTTCTGATGAGGATTTGAATCCTTGTGGAGGATGGGTGTGTTCTCTCTTTAGCAATCATGAATTGAAGTCGAACCCTGGATGTCCCCTTAGGGAGCAGGAATGGGGGTAGGAAGGCATGAAGAAAAGAGGAAAGGCTGGAAGGCAAAAAATTAGAAAACGGACTCTCCACTAACCGATCATATAAAATTTAGTCTCCTGTTTCTTTTAATTTTAATACAACTGGCATTATCTTTACTCTTTGCCACATTTTTTGATCAAATTGCATAAAAAACACATCACATAATAATAGTTTTTATTGGTCTGTTACTTCTTTTGTGACCTATTTTGCCCTCTCTACTGCTTCTCACTGGAGCTGTATCTTCTGAGGAATCATTTCTCAAACACTTGTCCCTCTTTTCCTACATGCTTCTCCTTTCTTTATTCGTTTCCTCTCTTTTTTTCCCCCTTTCACACACTCTTCCCCCTCTCATCTCCTTTAGAGAGCTTTTTGGACAATGATATCGCTGGAAACAGGCAGAGTCTGACAGAGTTGGTAATAATGAATTAAGTCTGTAGCCTGGCCCTGACTCTGAAATTTAAATTATAATTACTCCTGTGGGGATGGAAGGGGTTATTGCCAGAGAGAGAGAAATAAATTGAAGTGAAGTGTGTTTTTTTCTCTGCTTTTAAGACGTTCCGGCATGCCACTCAGTTTGGCCCCAGTTAAGTTTTTTTTTTTAATGATTGTGTTTATACCTGAGTGGTTGGATGTGAGTGAAATCACAAGTTCGGGACTGCTTGTGTGTACCTCATAGACAGGCGCCGATCTCCACAGGTTTTCCTTTTATGTTCCAGGTTTATCAGGTACAGTGCCTGGCACTTTTTCACATTTTGTCACATTACAACCACAAACCTAGGTATAATTTTACTGGGATTTTATGTGACAAGACAGTGCATAATTGTGAAGAGGAAGAAAAATTATAGAAGTCTTTCTCAGCGTTTATGATGACAAGGCTTAAAATTTTTCTGCTGGATGTAACAGTTTTTAAGGACTTAGTTCTATGTCTCCAACTTTATCCATCTCCCATGTCTGTGCTGAGACAAAGCATTCCCACAGCATATTTCATGGTAGAAATGTTGACTTCAGGGTCATGATGTGCTGCGTTAGTTTTAAAACGTGCATAGTGTTTTTCTTTTTTTTGGCTTTCTCCACATGTCTTGTGACAAATTGCAAACACGATTTATTCTGAATTTTTATGTCAATGTTTTTCTTACTTGTGACTCTTGCATACTGGCTAGAGTTTAGAAATGACCGATCAATTGATATTTTGAGAACAAATTCTCCCGCCTGACTGGTGAATCTCTCCAGCACAGCCTCAAGTAGTGGAGCAGGCAACTTCTGATTTATTGTTGCCTTTCTTGGCTTGTAGGTTTAGGTGGGTGGTCGAGTCTTAGTACTTTTGACATTTGTCCCAAACTTGTTTTTCAGTTTTAAATGATAGATTGAACAGCACACTTTGAGATACTCAAAGCATGGGTTTTATAATCTAACCGTGTTTTAAATGTCAAGGATTTTCCTAATGAATAAGAAATACCATACAACTTATAAATATGTGCTTTAATATTCTCGAGCAATTTATACAAAAACTGTACAAAAAAAGAGATCAAATCTTTAAAGGTCTGTTGAACTACCTCCAGTCCTGTTCATTTAATGTAAAGAACCTTGCGCATAATGTTGCAATAGTACTACACCTAACTTTTCCTCTGGACTTGACAAAGAGCTAAAGAAGTATCTAAGGATAACGCATTTACCACAAATGTTTTACAGAAATTTTCAACAGCTCATCTCCCGCACCCTGATCCAAAAACTTACTTTATTTAAAAACTAGAAATTGCAGACTCACAAATGGGAGTATTTTGTCAAATTAAATTCGACCATTTGTCCTTTTGTTATTCTTGGCCATAAATGCCAGCTCTACATTTTCAAATAAAGATCCTGTAAAGGACATTTCTACCCTTTCCTCTCTTAATGAAATGTCAGGTTATTGACCTGCCTTTCACTCTGATGCTTTTAGCTGTCCTCTTTGACTCTTCACCTCTGCTCTTGTGATGTTGTAGAGCCTCTGGAGGTCGCTTCACAACTTGAAAGATGTCGGCATGGTGCAGGTGAAGGTCATCAGAGCTGAGGGACTCATGGCGGCAGATGTCACAGGTACGTCGGTGACTTAAAATACAAACAGTGCAATTATAAAATGTATTTTTTACAATTTTCTTCTGCTATTATTTGGTTGCATGATATGTACAGAAAAAGTATTCATTCCTTTGAATTTTTTTCACATTTTTGCACATATTAGCCACAAAATGTCAATGTTTTTCAGTAGGACTTAATGTGTTAGACCAAGACAATGTAATGCATGACTTCTTAGTGAGGGAAAAATATAGTTATATTTTATTTTTTATGATGTAAAGTCTGAAAAGTGTTGTGTGTGTGTTTCAAGCTTAGAAAAGATAATTGGAGATGATCCGTGTGGAACAATTTTAAGTGAACCACAGATTTTTCAGTAGATTTATCTAAGAACTTTGACTGGACCATTCTAAGATATAAAGATGCTTTGTTCTAATCCGCTCTGCTTAGCTCTATGTTTTGGTTGCTGAAACTGGAAGGGGATAAAAGTTGGCTTCAATCTCGAGGCTTTTTCAGCTTTTAATTGCTTTACCTAAGAATTGCCCTGCATTTAGCACCATCAACAGTCCAATAATCTTTGACCAATTTTCCTGTTTCATGAAACAAACAGGAAATAACATGGTGGTGTGCAGCTGCCACTGACTTGTTTTACAGTGGCCCTCTGGTCTGTTTGTTATTGCCCTCTGTTTTAATCTTCTCCACAACTTTATCCCTGAACTGTTTGCTGTGATCTTTGGTCTTTATGCAGTTCGTTCTCTAATGTTCTATAAGACCACTGAGGTCATCAAGGAAAAGTTGGATTCACACTCAGATTAAATCACACTCAAATGGATCATATTACTACTTAGCTGACTTTTGAAGGCAATTAGTTGCTCAGGGTTTCATTGACAGATTTCAGAGTAACAAAGGCAGAAAATAAACATTTGCTGCTTTACAGTGTTTTTTATTCTGTAAACTCTAACAAACAATTTTCTAGTTGATGTCTAGGCATTATTTTGTGTTTGTCTGACACACAAATTCCTGATGAAATTTCTCAAAAATTGTAACAATGTCACAATGTGTGAAAAGTTTCAGGGGATATGTATAGTTTTGCAAGGCACATGAGCTTTTTCTTAACTTAACATGCTGAGCAGTTTTTGTTGCAAACTTATCTGAACCAGCAATTGCCACAAATCTGAGCTAAAAGATAAAGTCAGGGTGTAATTTTCTTTAGGGGGTTAATCGCCAATGCGAGTCCTTAGAGAATGTTAAAGCCTACTTTGTGCTTGGACGCTAAACTTGTCTCTGCTTTTAAATAAAGATGCAGGCTTCTCATTTGAATAATAGAGAAAAAGTACACATTTGAACCAACAAATCTTTCTCGACCCTCCTCCTGTGCTTTCTCTGCTTGCTCTCTCTGAATCCTCTACCCTCCATTAATTCTTACTTTTAATTAGGTCTGCAGTGGACAGGCCTAGTTTTTCACTCTGTATTATCTGGTAAAGAGAGGAGGATGTATGTGTGTGTGTGTGTGTGTATGTGGAAGGGAGACAGAGTTTTTCTCCATTTGAAACATCCACAGTCCCATTAGCAAATACAGAGTGGGGCTGGTTGATTTGGGTTACTGCAGGGAGCGACAGGAGCAGTCAGAGTGCAGGGCTAATGGCTCTCTGGTTCATGGGTTTCACTTGGAGCAGAAATGTGCTCCGTGACACCTTTGCAAAGCTCATCATTCACTCTGAGGTTTATGGATTCTTTTGTAAACTAACAGTAAAACTGCAAAAATACCCGTTAGCTGTTTAGTATTGCAGAAAACACGTATGATGAGTTTCAGTAGCCTTCGCTGTTCTGTAACTGAGTTTTTAGACAGCCTTTAATGGATGTTCCTGATCCTTTAAAATTAAATGAAAAGTAAAAAAAAAAAAACAGAAAAAACAAACAAAAAAAAAGACAGATGAAAGGTTTTGTGCTTAGCATTCCTATTTTAAGATGTTAAATACTTTTGGAAAGGTTTTGGATCAATTGAAATCTTGTCTTCAAAAATGGCCCGTCTGCACAACCCCCTGCGCTGACTTGAACTCACAAATCGCACAAAATCATTCAAACTTTTGCACACAGCTGCCCCAAAATCCTGCAAAGTTTTTCCTCCTTTGCTCTCTTCGCGTGAATGACACGCAGACTTGTCTCAGCATCTGAGAGAAAATAGTTCTCAGATTAATTATGTGCTTTGTTTTATCTGAATTAATTTTAAACCTTTCACATGCTATAAATAACAAACATAGTGTCTTCTTCAGTTAGCAGCAACTTCCACACCAAAGAGTGTTATTTTTAGTGTGTGGCCTTCAAAATGAAACTATCTGGACCAATTTAAGCAGATTTGCTGATCCTGCACTCTAGTTTGTTCTGTCCTGTTTTTAGAGCTTTGTTTTCAGTTCTATCTGAGACATTATTGAATATATCAGTCAGAAAACTAAAGTTGATGTATTTCTTTTGGCTCCCTAAAGCATATTCTCCTCCATTGAGTCAATAGATGCATACTGTGAGTGAACTGATAGGTAAAAGGGGCTATTTCAAAATGGCTTATTTCAGTTTTGAGTCTAATACTCTCTGTGTGTGTGCGTGTGTGTTTGAATGCGTGTCTTTGTGCGTGTCACTGGCAGAAACAATCGCTCTGTAAGAGCCCCATAAGAGCCCTCACCACATGAACACCCCATTTTAACAACCCAGACCAAGAGAGGGTCAGGAGCAAGGTGAGAAAGGAACAGAAGAACAGACAAACAGACAGACAGAGGCAGGAGGGGAGACAGAGAGAGGAGGTCAGTGAGACAGAGTGAGTTCACCATCTCGCTCCCATTCGGGCTCCTCTCACTCCTCTCTTTTTCCACCTCCTCTTCTCCCCCTCCTCCTCCTCACTCCCTCTTCTCTCTGGCCATCTCTCTCTAATTGGAGTGTTTTTGTGGAGTAGCTCCACTCCAGCCCAAGTAGGATAACTGAAAATAGTCTCTAAAACCAACAATCCCTTTTGTGTGCCAGCTCTTGTCTCTCTGAGTGGATGCTATACTGTTAGAACATTTCAGTAGCGATACACACACACGTACGCTCGCTCACACACACACACACACGGATACCTGCAGCAGCATAACCGGATAAGATTTTTTTCAGGCAATATTGAAACAAATCTCAGATAGTGAAGAGAATGACTCATTTTTAATTCAAGCTGAAAATACAGTCCTGCAAAAGAAAACATTCCCTTGATACAAAAATCTGTTCAAATAAAATTTTCAAAAGTGTGCCATGCATTTGTGCTTAGCCTGTCAAAGTTAGTACTTTGCTGCCCCAAGTATGTTGGATCATTTCACATCCGAACTTCACGTTTTTTCTCTATTCTCGTTTTTCTCTATTCTCGTTTTTTTGAATGGAAACAGTTTCTTATTACTCTTTAAACAATGGCCTTCTTCTTATGACTCTACCCTTAAAGATTCATTCTGCGAATAAATTATACTCAAGTGTACCTTTTTAATTTATACATTTAGTTTCATTTATTTATTAAATACATAATTCAGCCAAGTGAACACACTTGGTTGAATTATATTTTAAGCAGTACAAATGTCTGAATCCAAATGCAAGCAACATTTTTTTTACTTGCACACAAATAAAAATAAATCAGAAATATAGTTTTCTCACCAATTTACAACTATACAATGCTGCTTTTTCCTATCACATAGTTTCTAGTTGCAATGTTATGACAAAAATGTGGGTGTGAATATTTTCCTTAGGCGCTGTAATATTCATTATGACACAGGAAGTTTCCTCTCCATCTTTAAACTTCCCACCAGCTCTGAGCTTTCTGAGGGCCAATTACTTTCTTCCTCCTCGTCTCTTTGCTGCGTTCCTCCACTAAGTTTTCCTCAGAGTGCTCTGAAATTAATTTAAGTCCACTCCTTTTCTGCCAGCATCTCAGAGATCGGACCCAGAGGGGGCTGGAGGAGCTTTACCCAGACATTACCTGGATGGCGCTGAGTGGCGCTCAAATCTTTGCGTGTAATTGGTTAAGACAGCTGCCTCTGGTGCTTGGCAGCCAATAAGGTGAAAGTTCATCACCCATAACAACTGGCTCTCTGCAACGACGCATGAAGCCGCGTCATTAAAGACCGAATATTAGAGGGACAACTGGGGGCAGCTGGATGGGAGATAACACGCGGCAGAAATAATTTCCATGACCAAATTTGGGTGATTGCATTTAAATTAAATTATTGGCTAGATTTGTTGGGGGGTAATGGTATTATCCAGGCAGGCTCCTCGATTAATTGTGGAAGATTCTAAAACTTTACCATGATAATTTTCAGCAAATATATTACTTAAAACTGCTGTTAAAATTTTACTTTTAAGTTCATTTTCTCCACTCAAAATGGAAGAGACTGTTTTAAAATTCTGCCATGGAAATGCAGTTAATACTCAGCAAATAAAGTTTATGCACAGATGCTCTGAAAACTAGGCTCTTGTGTACCCTGCCTTTTTGTCAATTTTAATGCATCTTGTTTTCAGTCGCAGAAGTCAAAGCTGCCAATATCAGCTTGAAACCGCTCGGATCAATAGAGCACCACAAACAGATATAAAAGGCAACACCTACGCCTTAGCATTGATCACAGTGACATTTACTTTGCACACCCACTAAATGTCCTGCCCTTGTCACAACATTTGAAGAAAATCACACCAATCGATGGCGCTCACTCACACACGCCTCCCATGACTCACACACACACACACACACACACCCACACACACACACACACACACCCCCACACACACCCCCCCCCACACACACACACACACACACACACCCCCACACACACACACACACACACACACACACACACACAGTCTTTCAAGGGGTGTGGGGGGGAGCTTTGAACTCAGTCCCAAAGTTATTGAACATTATTATGCAACATTGCCGTTCTGCTAATATGTCATCGTTGTCTCTTTAAATAATATGATTTAAACTCGCTGACCTAGTCTTCACGTGTTAATGAATAAAAAGCAAAGACAATCCCATCAGTTTTTTCTAGTGAACCGTGATGATCAAAGTCAGAATTAAGTGTTATTTTCAGTGGGAGACAATTGAAGGGAGCTGATCCAATCATTTTCAACTCCTTCATATAAAATGCTGCTAAACAAAAGGAAAATATGATGGGAGATTATTTACTTTTATTTTCATGTTTTCTCCATATCATACATGTAGAAAATTTTGAATCAAAAGTTTTGGCCAAATTAATTTTATAACTGAATTGAATTAGTAGTGACTCATAAATGACTTTATTTCTTGCCAAATGTCCTAAAGTTTAGGAGAAATAAGAAAAAACACAAAATAACCTCGAAAACTGTCAGAGGATTCCAGTTTTTAAATCAGTTTTTTTTTCTAAGTTTCTGCTCACTTACACCGTTTAGAAAAAAACGAAAAAACTGAAATGATAGGGAGTTTTTCTTTTCTTTGAGCTTCTCTTTTATAATTTAATTCTAACACTGTGCTTTCGTCCTTTTTTTATTTGTCAAATACATCTTTGCCATCAGTGTTTCATTCGCTCATTTTAAAATCACAGATTTTGGAGCAGATGTGTTTCTTTTGTCCCACGCTCGGTCGTCTTTTTCTTCTATCCTGAAGTTTTCCAGTCTTCAGAGTCGTGTTGACCTCTGTGTTCTCGCTCTCTTTCTATCGCCCTCCTCCTGACTGCTCAGTGCACCGTTGTCCTGAAGTCCATGTTTTCAGAAACAGTTTGCAACTGATAAATTAATGTTTAATGTGCTCAGCACCGAGGCTGAAGAATGAAAAGAGTCATGTTATAAATTTAGATTGCTTGATGAAGCATGTAGCATGAGGTTATATGTAACATAAGGGAAAATAAATACTTTTGATTCACTGAACCTGCTGGATCCTAAAAAAAAAAATACAAATCTTAGAGAGTAAATTTTTATGACTGAGCTTTTTGAATTTATACTATATTTTCATGTGGCCACATTTGCATACTTTATTTATACTTGACAGGTAAAAGTGATCCTTTTTGTGTGGTGGAGCTGAGCAATGATCGACTGCAGACACACACCGTCTACAAAAATCTAAACCCAGAGTGGAACAAGGTCTTCACTTTGTGAGTAGCTTTGACATGAATTCTTCTGACTCTTTATTAATGACACATTTTCATACTTTGTTTTTTTACATTAATTTTGAATAAATATTAAGAAAATAATTTAATTGTCTTCAGACGTGTGTGTTTCACGTTGTTATCTTTTACTTTTAACAAAGCAGAACTTTGATTTTTTTTTTTCTTAAATGAATTTCTAGGTTAAAATATTATGGAAACAATAACATTAATAAATCTATTTTCTGCCTGTATGTGAGACTTTCCTTATCATAAGTATATTAATTGGTGAACAAATTCAAAATAAAGCAAGGTAAATTAAAATAAATCAAGATATTACAAATATTTTATTTGTTGCCATTAATGTATATTCAAAGTGTTTTATATATATATATATATACATAAATGTTAAAAGTGTAATTACAGGTATCTTCTGTCTTGTCAAATGTGACAAGATAGAAGATACCTGTACTTTCATGAACAGTTATCTTAAAATATGTACTTAAAACATAAGTAAATAAATAGATACATTGTGATGTTGTGCAATATCATATAATTTGTATTAATATTAATTTAAAAATATATATATGATAATGATATATTGTTTAATTATATAGGTGTGGTATTTCTTGCGATGTTTGATTATTATACAGGCTTTTCTCATCCTTTCTATAAGTCTGTGGGATGAAACAGCTTCTGCACCATTTGAGTCTTATGTCCCCCGTCTTTGTGTGTGGTCCAGCAACGTCAAGGACATCCACTCAGTGCTTGAGGTTACCGTTTACGACGAGGACCGGGACAGAAGTGCCGACTTCCTTGGGAAAGTGGCTATCCCTTTGCTAAATGTGAGTCAAAGGCAAGATTTCTGTTTGTGTTTCTTTTTTTCTCCTCCCTCGGGAATAATAGAGAGAGAACATACAGCGGAGGAACAGAGAGAATAAAAACAGAGTAGGATATAAAAAGCAGAGGTTATTTTTGCAACTCCACTGATGACACTTTATTATTTCTCAAAGTAAAAAAAAAAAAAAAAGTTGACAGGAAGCAGAAATAAACGGAAGAGCTGAGTAAAAGAAAAGGTATAGATTGATAGCTGAGAGGATATAAAGTAAGTGGATGAGAGATGAGATGAAAATGACGCTGATAGACAGAAAGATCCAGCTCGGAGGTGAAAGAAGAATGTCTCTTATATCTGGTAAAAATATAGCTAGCCTGTGAAAGAAGTATGCGCGTCGTATATCTGCGCTTTGCTGTAACAGTGTGATTCCCCAGGATAGTTAATTTCTGTTTGACAGAGCCGAGCTGCAGTGGGTAATGAACAGGTACTTGTCAGAGTTGCCACAGTTGTTTTGGGTTCCCTGTCAGCGCCAGCAGCTGGGGTTCAAAGGTGGCCCGGGGAGCCGATTCAGCCGGGTATTGCCAGACAGACGCCTGTCATGTCCCTCTCCCACAGATCCAAAATGGAGAACGCAAAGCCTACGTCTTGAAGAGCAAGGAGCTGACAGGGCCAACAAAAGGGGTCATCTTTCTCGAAATAGACGTGATTTTTAATGCTGTAAGTCTTTCTTTTGCTTTTTTTTGAGTCTCCTCCCTGTTTTTTTTTTTTTTTTACCTCCCACCCCTTATTATCCTCTCACTCTCATCCTCCTCTTGTTTTCCCCACCATTTGCCCCCTTCTATGCTGTTGCCGTCTTTATTCTGTTTGTGCCCCCCTTCCCTCCCTCATTTCTATCTCATCCGTCGTCCCTCGTCCTCGTTTTGGCTTTAATTATCGAAGACTCCCTCTCAGCAGCCTTTGTTAGCCCATTCACCATCGCCGTGTGTGTTCTACAGCGGCCATCTTACAGCTCTGTCTCCTGCTCTCCCTCTCTTTCTCTCTGTAGCCTCTGACATGAGGCACACTCTATATGCATGTGCTGCTATGCTGTCTCAGCGCTTGGTACCTTTGAAATAGTCAAGATATTTCTCCTCAATATCACATTTGTGAGACTTTGTGCTTGCTGTGTCGTCCAGGTGAAGGCTGGTCTCAGGACGTTGACTCCCGTCGAACAAAAGTACATCGAGGAGGAGCCTAAAGTGTCCAAACAGGTACATCTGCAGCTGATGTTTATCATCTGCCACACCTCCTCTTTTTCCTTTATCTGCCTCCTTCCAATTGACTCCCCATTTTGCTTAAACGTCTAAAGCAGAAACTAACAACACTGCTGAGTGGCATCCTGTAAAGCGCAACAACTGTGTAGGCAAGATACAACAGGATGATTGAAGGAAGAACAGCATTTGTTTTTTGTTTTTTTTGTTGTTGTTTTTCTTTCCTCCTCCCTCTTCTACCCCCTTTTTCTCATCTCCTTTCCCTCGTTTCCACTCTGAATGGTGAATAGAAATGTCAAGCTGTCAGCTCTGGGGTGCATAAGTAGATTGGCCATCCTTATAGTTGGCCCTCTTTGCCACTGCTGCTTTGCACTTCATTGTCACGCTGCTCAGTGTGGCGGCACCACAAAGGCATGAATGGTAGGGGCTGGCCCGCATCAGATGTGTCATATGAGTGACCGTTCGGGCTCAGCAGTCAATGTTACGCCACGCACAGTCGAGCGCGGCCCCGGGCCTTGTCCCGACGCGGCACAGCGCGCATCCTCTTTGTAACTCATCCATCCTTCCTCTCCACCTCTCCTCCCCCAGTCTCGCTGTCTCTGCCTCCTCTGCTGCTCACTTCTCCCGGCTCATTTTTGCTGCTCTGCCTCTCTTCCCCATCTTCATTTCACCCCTGACTCATGGAGAGGAACCATGTCAGCGTCTCCCAATGATGATGTCATTGGCTGGTTTGAAGGGACTGCCCTGTGAGGGCTCTTTTGTATGGCAGCAGCTCCCCTGCTGTTGCTGCATTCACACACACACACACACACACACACACACGCACGCACGCACGCACGCACACACACACACACACACACACACACACACACACACACACATGCATGCACACACACACACACACTCGCACGCACACACACACACACACACACACACACACACACAAAAAGATGTGTAAGGGGAGGGGGAGGAAACATGTTCCATCTTCAAAACTCATAAATGTAATATTGACATTGGACTCAATTTATAAATAACCCAGTTTTTAAGTGGTTTCCAAAACTAAAGCATGCATTCAATATGAAGTACTTCTCAAAGCCTTGAACTTTTTCACATTTTATGATGTTACAATCACAAACTTAAAAGTGTTTTATTGGGATTTTATAAAGCAGACTGATACAGAGGAGCGCATATTTGTGGAAGAAAAAAAAGAGTTATATTTTTTTAGCTAATAAAAAATCTGAAAATAAGGAACATGCATTTCTTCTGAGCCCTCTCTTTCTCTAGTACCCACAACTAAAATCCAGTGGAACCATTTACCCTAAGACTGCACTCCAGTCTTAGATCGAGCCCACCTCTGTGTGATTTTATCTAATATCAATTCAGTGTAATTCATGAAAGACAAACAAACACATCACAGTGGTCAGGGACAATATTGTTGAGAAATTTAAAGCAGAAATTGTTATTACATTGAACAAAAATGTAAAGAATATAACTCAACAGGTGTCAAATTGGCATCGTAAAAATCGGAGGAGTCCCATGGTAGCTCTGGAGGATCTGCAGAAATAAAAACTCTTCAGAGAGATCGTAATACAGGGTAACTATTGTACTTAAATGTACTTAAATCTGGATTTATTGTGGAAAAGGCCTAGTTGAATACATAGGCAATTACCTCACAATTATACACAGTTTGTAATTTCTTTATAACAGAAAATTGCTTTGAAGTGACTCAGAAGTTTGTGGAAAATGATTCCGGGGGTGTGAATACTTCTGAAGGGCACTATCACATAAAAATGTAAGCATTCTTATCGTTCTTATCATTCTTATTATGTCTTGACTTAATACTGAAAATAAGTTGTGATGTCAACTGTCTGGGTAGCCCCAACCTTATTTTGGCATTAAGAAATACAACAGTTATATGTTGTAAAAAAAAACAAAAACATATACATAAACACCCTAGGTATTTTTTTTTATTGAGGTTTTTGGAAAGGCAGGATCTCCTTTGGGAACAATTTCTCCTGCTGGTGACCTGATTGGGTAGTTTCCTGTCCTTGGATCTGTTGCTATTCCCTGAATGGCTGCAAACCCGGCTCGAAGGCAGCAGCTCTACTTCTCTTTCCAACTGACACATGAAGCATAGAGAGGTTTGGATGTTCCACTGGATCATAAAAGGGAGCAGAATTGTGTTTAATCTAAATCTTATCCATACATAAATTAAAAATGTTGAACACCTCTCTGTAATCCCATGTGTTAGTAGGCAAAGTCATAGATCATCGAGAGCATCAGTGTCATTTTTTTCAGCTTCATTTTCTCTCCCACCAAGTGTTATTACCTGCCGGCTTGGTTAAATGTTTTACGCAATGTTCACAATGAAATGATGAACTGTCTAAATAACAGTCTGTACTTTTCTTTTTTATGGCTCATTTTCAACACGAAGACTTCATTTGTCTTAAGACGTTCTTTTTTTGTGTGTGTTGCTTTCCTTCAGATGCTTTTGCGCAACTTCAACCGAGTCAGACGCTGCATCATGTTCCTGATCAACACAGGCTGCTACATCAACAGCTGCTTCGAATGGGAATCTCCGCAGAGAAGCATCTGTGCTTTTGTGGTAGGTGTGGGAGCACCTGCGGTTGCACTTTTTTTTAAAGCTGAACACACACATGCACATGCACACGCACACACACGCACACACACACACACACACACACACACACACACACACACACACACACACACACACACACACACACACACACACACACACACACACAGAGAAGGTTGTTCTCAGATGTTCTTGGGATCATTTCTGTAGTGATTAGACATCGCAGCTTGAAATGGTCTTTTGTTAGACTCTCTTGTCCATCTTCAGAGTAAACACAACTTTAAGCAGTTCCTGAAGATGACAAGGGACGACTTTTCTCCTCTTGTCTCCGGTACACTCCCACTTATCTTTTGCTCTCCTCTGTCATCCGCGTCTGGTATTAAAAGGTGAAGCATAATTGGACAGCAGAGCTATCAAGAGAGGACATCCTACTGCAGGGCAGTCAGAGGCTGCTTTGAGGTTTCTATCCTAAAAGATGACAGAGCAGGCATTTACTCTTGTCTGCTTTATGTCCACTGACTTAAGTAGCTCCAGGACAGGTGGGCCTAACCTGACCTGGCCCTTTACCATGGGAGCACTAAGTGTCTCCACTGCAGACATTAGCTCCATTTGGCCGTTTGACACCAGTTTAATCTTCACTGAGGCTGTGTGTGTGTGTTTGTACAATAGGTCACACTGTCATCACAGGAGTTGGGTCAGAAGAGATGTAGTATTGATCAGTTAACGTTTTTCATTATATTCTGTGTGTGTGTGTGCGTGTGTTTGTGTGTGTGTGTGTGTGCATGCGTGTCTGGAATGCATGTTTGCATTTCATTTCAGAGATCCAGGGATCTCACATTTTGTACATAAATTTAAAATTGAAAAGTCATACTTTTACTAAATAAATACTAAAATAAATATAGTTACAGAGCTGTATACTTTTGAATAAAAAAATAATAATCTAGAAATACAGTAAAATTATGCAGGTTACCAGAAGAATGTATCTGTGCAAATAGAACAAACTAAAGACATATATTATCTTTGTTTTGCACAGAGTGAAATGACTGTTTGTCATAATCACTACTTATTTGGTAACTTCAAAATAATATATTGTCCAAATTATCATTTGAAAAGAAAAAAAAGTTCAGATTTACTGTTGTGTGTTATCTATCGTCAAATACTTCAATCATGTAGGAGCTCTAAGCAAGATTTCTGTAATCGAGATAGCAGTCAGTCTTCCACTGCTGTGCAGTTAAAATGGATATCCTTATTTTTTAAAAACACATTCAGCGATTAAACAGTTGACATTTCTCACTGTCTTTTGCCTGTATACAAGTGGCCAGCACAATTAGCGCATGCCACCACAAAGTGTGTTTTTCCTGCACAGTAAATAGACATTTACCTTAAATGTTCTGACATTTCCAAAAGTTTTTTTACATTTCCAAACAGATAGAATTTTGCTTGAAAACATTACCTTCCTGCTTTCTGCTGAATTCTCTGTGACTTGGCGGCTTGAATAAATAAAAGAGACATTTTCTTCATAGGATATCTTGTCGGATTTTTGTGCTTCCTCGGACTTGGTTTTAACACCTTGCCATTGCTGATAACAACTCAATTTCCGTCTTCTTCACTCAGCTGCAACTTGTACGCTGAAGAGAGTTGTCAGAGTGACATCATTGCACTTGGTATTGTGAAAAATGGTGGAATAATTCCTTTCAAACCATAATTCATATATTATTTCCTTTGAACTTACCATTATTCTTTTTCAGTTATATCTGAGGGGCAAATGAACAGGTCAGACACATAAAATAATCAAGAAATTTATGAAAATCAGTCTTATCAATGTAATTAAATGATGGGGAAGGGTACAATTCTTAAAAATTCAAGCTTTGTGTGAACACCCATGGAGCTGCTCAGCTTTCAAACGAGCACTTTGTAATGCAAGGTGCACAACATTCCGGATTAACAGCTCAGACTATTCTTATTGTGCGCTCTTATACCCAGAGTATTCAGATGATGACAAAGGGTGTATCTAGGCCAAGGACAAAGTGTTTTATAGTTTATAGTAATTCTGAAATTTAGGTGTCATTGTGAACCCCCCACCCCCCTCCCGCCTCTGCCTCCTTCCCAGCTCCACCTCTACCCTTTAGGGAGTCTGCTAGCGTAGGAGTATGCACTTAGCTAAAAGCATTGGAGTATTTAGGGCCTCTTCTCCACACAGGTATCCCCTCCCTCTCCCTTCATTCCTTCATCTCATTTCTTCCTTACTTTGAGAGGCCTCTTAATCACTTCACTCATCTCTTTAAGTGGGTTTTTATGGGGGGCCATCTGGCCAAGGTGGTGCATTCATGAAGGTGTGCTGCTGCGTGCGATTATGTCCATGTGTGTGCGCACACATGTGCGTTCCTGCCTGCAGACAGATGTTACACCTAACTTTCTGTGGGCAATTTAGTCTCAGAACTTACAAATGTGCGCACTTTATCAGACTCCAGCAAGCCTGAGGGGGATATATTTGAGACTTTTTTGTTATATTTTTTTCTGAGGTTTTTTTAGAAGTACATCAAAATGCAGTTGTCATAACATGTCACAGCAGAACACTCCCTCCCCACAGGAAAAAAAAAAAAAGTTTAAATTTCGCTTCATGGTTTCTTGCTCTCCTTCTGCCCAATCCTGAAATGCCAGCCGCATGTACACATCACCCATTAGTGCCAGCTGTGATTAGTGTGTGTTTTGTGTGCATGTGTGAGAAAGAGAAATACTGCATAGTCTCACATGGAGCCTTTCACTCTCTCTCTCTCACACCCACACTGCTGTCACCCACCCATCCCGACAGTGAATCAGCCACCGTGGCAGCTTTGCCTGAGGCGTTGGCACAATGGACGCTACTGGAGTTACCTCCTGTCCTGCATGATGGGTGGTGTCTTTGTGTGTGTATGTGTCTGTGGATGGTGTCTCCATTCCTTGTCTCGGGGTTAAGCGTCTGCTTCCGTTCTCCACACCTGCGAGCAGAGTATCTCTCCCTCCTATCCGCCCGTCCATCCATCCTTCCATGCCCGTTCTTCTTTATCTCCAACGCTTCCTCCCCCCTCCTCTTCGTCGTGCCTTGCAGAAAGTTGAGGCCATTGTCGGGCCGAGCGGTGTTGGGTTCTCTTCTCCCGCTGCTGCCAGCTCTCCCCCGCGGCCCCTGCAAGACAAGGCTGTTATTGCCCGAGGGACCACAGGCCTCGGCGGCTCTTCCTCCAAACAAATTTGCTGTAACTTTATCTGCAATTGGGCCCTGAATTGGGAGCAAATAGAGGCAGCTTTGTGAAGCTCAGGGAAGGGCGAGGGCAGCGAGCTGGGGGTTGTTGGGGAGGCAGGGGAAATGATACCAGGCTCTTTTATGTCAGGCAAAGTAGGACTCTTATCAGGAAGAGAACCCAGACAAGGGAGCTACTTCTAGAGGAAACTGGAGCACCTATCACCTGCTTTGCATTTAGATAAAAATTCACCCAGCTGAAATAAAAAAAAAGAGGGGTGGGGGGAGCAAAGACAGGTACAGAAGCAACCATTCGAGTGTCAACGTGTGTTTGCACGTGTCTGGTTGTGACGCTGCAGCAGTGAGCGGTGCACACCAACCACTCTGGGTCTCTTTAAATTGCTCCTTTGACTTCTCTTCAAAGGACCTCTCTAACTTTTAAAAGTTTTAAAGTCGGGAGTTCGTCTTTGCCCACAGCAAGGGACAGCTTTGAAAGATATACTTTCACATTTTGCTGCTCGCTTGATTTGCGAAAAAATGAATGATAGTTGAAATATTGTGTCGTGACTGACAGAGAATACCAAGTCAGGGTTTAATCACCAGAGATAAAGACTCAACAGAAAATGAGACCTTTTTTGTTTGCGAGTCAAAGGATTAATACATCTAATAGGTGCTGTTGAAGACTTTCCTTTCTGAGGACATATGCTTTGTTTTATTTCACCATGTTCTGACAAGATTGGACAGATTTTTTTTTCATTAGATCAACACAAATGATACTTTATTCTGCCGTTGAGCAGCAGGGGGCAGTCTAGCACCGCTGAATAAAGTGTCTGGTCACAAGCAGGACAATCCACTCCACCTCCTCCCTCCCCCCTCTCCCCACCACCACCCTTTCTTCATGTTCGCCCGAACTTAACAGGACTCCGAGTTGCTGTCTGGCAACACTTAGTGCCAGCATGGATATTGATGTAAGAGAGATAAAGGGGGAACTCTGAAATCCAAACTTCAGTTTCAGTCCACTGAGACTGAGCAGGGGGAAAGTTAGCCTGGTGTGTGGTTAATGTAAGCCAAAGCACTGAATATTACCCTCCCACAGTGCTGCTGCAGAAAGCCGTCAGGACGCGGGCTCTGTTTTCGAACCAGAAACAAAACTTTTAAAATCCCCACACTAAGCACTTGAATGCATTAGTTTGACTTTTTGCTGCCTTAATGTTTTCAATAAAGCTTCCTCTCTTGTTGTCTTTCAAATAATAATAATAAAAAGAAGCACAAAAAGATCAGAACTGAAATGAAATCCAACTCTAAAGACATGACAAAATAAATTAATATTTTAGGGTCTGAATATTTGTGCTAAAATATAACAAGAAAAGACACTGTGGTTTTACTTTAATATGTCTGTTTTAATTATTTGAGCCATTTGATTTTCAGATTGTTCTCAGATGTCAAGTTTGCCCAGTTCAAATTCGGGCTTTGACTGCCGTTAAACTATTGTAGCAGATTTGACAGTGACAAAAAAATGTCCTTTTCTCTGTGTTTTTTTTATGACAAAATGAAACTTTTGTTCTGAGCATTTTACGAAGCATTGCACCAAACAATACTCTGTTTTATGATTAGACTAGTTGGCTGAAGGTTGAACACTACTCTTTTTATTCCTGATGTGCTTTTAATCACCTGTCACTATTCCTGTTTGTCGTAGTGACAAAATCAAATGTCCATCTACGAAAAAAAAATACTACAAAGAATAAATGATGATCTTGAAAACAAATAGAAAAACAGCTTCTTTTAATTATGACTAAAATCATAATTAATTTTCATAGATTCCCAGCAAGACTATTTACATATGCTTATGAATATAGAAACACATTTATGGAAAATAAACTAAACAACAACAACAAAGAAACAAGGCTTGGAAGTTTACAATACCAAACCTCCACCACAAAAATTCAGTACCATAGGTGAAAACAAGAACAATGCGAGCCCAGCATCCTTTGCGTGCATGCGTGTGTCTGTGTGTGTGTTTTTGTGTGCGCGCCCCTATATCCAGTACGAGTCATAATCATATGGGTTTTTGGACCACACAGAGTAATCTACCAATGATTTCCATGGTCTACATCTGGAACTTCACTCAGAATCTTCCTCCACTTTTTCCATTTGATCCAGTGTGTTTTTGTAGTTGTCCCCCTGCACCCCCCTCCGTCTTTCTCTGGTCACTGACATCCACAGCAGGCGCTCCTTCCCACTCCCATCTCTCCAGGCGAAGCGCTTCCTATCTTGTGTGGCGAGCGGCAACAGCAGCGGGGGGTTGTGACGGCGGTGGCTGCGATTGCCTAGTCCTGGTGGAAAGGTCCAGGTACCGCAGGGCCCCCAGTGTCCAGCCGGTGGGCACAAAGACGACGCAGGGGCCAGCCACCGCTGAGCCCGGGTGTCCGGTTTCCCTAGCTGCCAGTCAAAACTTCGCCTTTAGCCGCGTTATGAACAGACGAGAAAGAGGGATGACAAGTTAAACAACCCGAGGCAGATAAAGGACAACAAAACCCCCATAAAAACAAAGAAGAGCATAAAAGAAATAAAAAATGTAGGATTATTATAAACATCTTCTGAATGTAGAATTAATTTTCCCAGCTAGTGATTAGATAACCAGAAAATATATTTACACAGCAGGATGTGTACGGTATATTTATAACAGTGAACTTAAAAGGAGCGACTGTGGATCTGCATAAAGATGTTTGCTGGTATTTATAGAATCTACAAGAATAGGTTTAAAAGAAGTGAGCTCCTTTGTTTGTTCAATTGAAGTCAAGTTTCAGCACCTCGAAGGCACGTTGTTTTGTCAGAGATTATTTCAGAGTTTATTACTGTTACAGAGCATAATAATCTGACTGCAGATGGATTTGAAAGTAAGTTTACAAAAAGTATGCAAGTATTTTTGAAGAGTTTTTCTATAGGAGATTTTTTTTCTATTCTCTCAAGTGGTAAATGTTTTTAGGATGTAGGAAGAAGAAGTTGTTTAGCTTTTTGCTATACAAATAATCAATTATTAAAATGTGTGTTTCTCCTGCACAGCTATTTAAGAACAAATCTGTGTGTGTGGGGGGAGAAAGGGACGTTGAGCCTGAGAGAAACTGCATGTGATTTCAAGCCTTTTGGGAGATTTTCTAAGCTGCAGCAACCAAAACCACTCAGGTTTATTTAAAGAAGGAATTGAAACTTAGAGAAAAATTTATGATGTGCTGGACATTTTTAATGTTTAATTTAGTTTATTATTTTTTATTCTGGCTATTCAGTGTCTTTTCGTTAATATTGCATGAAGGGTTTTTTTTATATGAAGTTTGGATGAGAGCCATTCAAACTTTTCTGAAGAAGACTAGTTTGCTACGGTACACAGTGTGCCTTTTTTTTTGTTTGTTTGTTTTTTCACTATTCAGTATTCAACCAACTCAGCGAAGAAACTGTTGTTGAACCTTGTATTCAGATTAACCTTCGGCTACAAGAGCAATGAAGAGCTTCCAAACAATCACATGCACACTCAGACATAAACCAGTGTGATTGTATTAACCTTCCTTTTTCCACTTGTGTTATTCTACAAACAGGATGGATTAATTGCAACCCAGACCAATAAATCTGGTTTTTACAGTAATAGTCTCAATTTTACCAGTCTTGAAAGTTTCCTGCCAAAGCTGATTGTTAAACGGAGATGCATTTCTATGCAGAGTAATTAATTACAAATCTTTTTTTTTTTCTTTTTGCTTTTGTTCCTTATTTTGAAATAATGGATTTGTTGTACTTAAATTTGATAAATGTGTTTGGCTAGAGGACATTAGGCATTAGGCACGGCTTGCATTTTCAGCGTTCGGTTATAATTGCCGCCAAGATTTTATCAGTCGTGAGAAATCTCTGTGCGCTTTAAACATGATACTATTTGAAAGGATAAATATGCTTTTGTGTCTGTTTTTCTCTGACGGATGTTGTTCCTACACAATAACCCATCTCAGTTTTTTTTTTTAGCAACAATTGAAACAAAGCTGTCTCACTATTCGCACAACACTGGTTAAAAATATCAACCCATGAGCATTTGCAATTTAACTTTCCCACAGATATCTCCTCCAACGGCTGTAGAAATCTGTTGTTGGAGGCTCAAGGAGCCTTACAAAAACCAGAATACAGGGTTTAGGGAAAGGTTCATTTTCAGATGGTGCTCTTCTTGTTTGGTGATGAGAGGGGAGGTGTAGAGGTTATGGTTTTGGCAGATAGGTGCAGTGGAGGTTAGAGACGGGGCATATGAGTCTTTTGGAGCAGCAGAAGAGGGTATTGGGGCTTGGAGTGACAGGGTTAGGGACTCGGGGTGCGTGGGGTCATATTGTGGAGTTTGGGGTTGAGCTCGAAAGGGTCAGCTTTGATGAGCTACGTCTGAAATGGTACACGACCTCAGGCTGTTGGATGATTGGCACGAAGGAATGAGGCTATGGCGGCTGAAACTCGTCCTCCTTCCTGAACTGGAGACCAACACATCCCTGTGGGGCCAAGATGTTTGGATCTCAGCTCTTATTGCCTTTATTCCGTCTTCTGTTTTGTTTCCACACAATTGTGTATTATCACCAAATGCACATGCAGCCACCTCAAAGCAATCAATAGTACGAGTTATTAAATATTTGCGTTCCCAATCTACACTCTCCTCATTTTTTTTTTTCCTTTTTGTCTTCACAGATTTTCACCATTGTTGTCTGGAACTTTGAGCTTTATATGATTCCCTTGGCTTTGCTTCTGCCGTTGGCCTGGAACTACATTCTCATCGCATCGGGGAAGGATACGAGGCAAGATGTCGTGAGTAAACCTCTTCTCTGTTCGGAACTGTTCCGCCTTTCTTTTGTCCGTCATTCAAACTGGGAAAAAAAAAAATACAATTTGTTTCATACTTCACGTTTGCTGACAATAGATATATGTCTTAACTGTACACAGCTGCCATTGATTTAATGTGGATATTAGTTACATAATTATGACTACAATCAGTGTAGATGTACAGATGCCAGCAACAGACATTTCTTTAGAAATTTTAGAACCCATCTTTTAAATAAACATTACTTCCGAACTCTGAATTTATTTGTATGTTTTTAAGCATGTCTGCCAGTTTTTGTTAATGAAAAACTCAATTTTGGCAAACAAGGAGCTTGCATTTCTTCACCGCGTCCCACATTTCTCACTTTGCCTTCTTTGAGGCAAAGAGAAGACAGAAATAATAGGCTGTCACCTTGAGCTATGTTACGCCACTTACCTGGTAGTATATTTATTTAATTCATTTTATTTTTTTTTATCTCTTATACCAATTAAATGATGTCAAAGCAATGTCATGGAGAAACAGACATGTTTTAATCATGGCCGGGCACATTTGGAGAGGAGAGAGTGAAAACGAGTGAGAGAGCCGGACTATGGAGTGAGCGTGAACAATGAAGTGATTAATTTTAATAAGTGCCTTCTTCCAAGACTCAGTCAGAAATAACCCGTTAACAGACTTCAATTTTTTTTTTTTTTTTTGACGTTCTTGCCTTCTGTATGTATATTTATCGCTTCCTAAGGAATCTTTGGATTAGATTGGATTGAATTTTGGAAGCCCGTATTTAATTCTGTCATTATATTAAACCAAATCTAATAGCTGTCGGTCATTGTAATTTCATACATAACAGTGGAATTGGATTTGAACAGAACATGTCATACACCACATATCTATAAGTCTTTGGAGATAATCTCTGTTTCAAAGCCTCTGACTGTGTGTCCATTTAAAACGTGATATTAAATTGAGAAAAATGCAATTTTTACATATCTTGATTAAAGCCTTTTAATATAATTTATTTAAGTTTTTTAGTTCATATTTAAATAAGAAAATACTCCTTTACAAATATATTTGCACAGATATAAAACAATGAGACCTAAATACAAACAGGTTATTTTTCTTACCTGTAGAGGGCGACATTGCTTGACAAATTAAATGCATGTAATCTGGCAAAAGAAAAAAAAGTAAATTACACTCTCCTTTCGAGAAATGCATCTTGATGAATTTGATTCTTTCATGCTTTACTCTACACATCTCAAGTAAAATGAGGCAAAAGTTTATTGATGTATTGATGTACTTTCATTCACTTGCGATAGAGAACTATGAACACTTTCCTTAAAGTAGGAAAATATCTGCCACCAGCTCTTAGCTACACATTTTTTAGTCCCATTTAATTTTTCTGTTACAGTATTTTTGTGTGTGTTATTCTGAAGACTTGTGGTTATCTTTTACCTGCACACTTTATTGTCAACACATTCAGATTGTTGGAGATTGAGAGGACTTTCTGTCCCTCCCTTTAACACAAGCCATCAAGGTTGTACTTTCTTGTGCTGCAAAAAAGTCATGACTGACTCCCCTTCTGTTTAATCTCTTGTATGAGTAGTCAGTCAGATAAACGCTGTTGTGTGGTGGGGACCGGAAATTGCTTAAACGTACATATAGGCTATGCTGGTGCTGGAGCGTCAATGCAGACTTTTTTGCGGCGAAGGGAGGGTTGAGAAGCTGGGAGACAGTTGGAGTAAAACTACTTTGGAAAAGTGAGAACGCCCTAACATTGAATTATGCTGTATGTGCTCTCAGTGAATGTTTAGGTGAATATGTCATACAATTCGTGCAGATATTGTTTGCTATGGTCCTCTTTTTCGCTGACTGAAGTACTTTTGATTATTTTTTCCTTTCCTTTTGTTCAGAAATAATTGTAATAATTGTTTGTTACCAGATGTAATAAACCAGATGTAATAATGTTTATTACATCTAATTGCAAAAACTCCTCATATGCTTTGACTCATGTGCTTCATATGTGTTGGATAACAATGTGCATATTGTTATCCAAAATAGAATACAACAAAAATGCTTTATGTGTCCCAGGTAAAGCTGATGCACATTTGTGTCTACTCTCTGATTATTGAAATACATGAAGGTTTAGTTTTGCATGGTTCTCATTGATCATCAGATCTGTGTTTTGGTGCTTGGTTTCTATCTCAATTTCTTGTCTGCCAAGGCTTGGACATATAGTAAAAGTTTATTAAGTTCATTCTTACAGTTGTGTTGAGCTCACACTTTATATGCAAAGTATCATCTCAGTCATGTCTCCGTTTGGTTTCCCTCTTCCAATTTTCGGAGAGCAGAACATATGGTGGAGGATTGATCCCACTTAGAGCATAAAATATCTGTGGTTCTTTGCTTCCTTTTTTTGGTTTCCCTCTTCCGAGTGTTTATTAAGCTAAAGTGGCGGTGGACTCACTGCTTTCCTCCTGCTCTTGGCAGAGAACCGACCAGAGCAAACTAGAAAAAAAGGAGAATAAGGCCTTCTAATTACCTTTAACAACACACTAAATTAAAGCATTGTGCAGAGCTGAGCAAGGGTCAGTATCCGGTGCACTTCGGTTTTCCAGCAGTCTGGGGTGAGGGTAATGCCAAAGGAATCTCTGCTGAGCTCACTCTCAGGCAAAGGGCAAAGAGAGAGAAAGTCAAGGAAAAATGAGAGAAAACTGAAAAACGAACATACGTACGCTTGAGTCAAGATTTCTCAAAGAATTGTCCATTTTTCATCTGAAAGGTTCAATGTGCAGACCTTTCTCTTTTTCTACACTGCAGCAACAAGTCTATCAGCCAGTCTGCTGCAAGAAAACAAAGTGTTCTCAACATGTAGCAATTCATAATTCAGGGTCACTGACTGTTGTGTGGTTACATGCTGCTTTGTAAACAGATCCCAGATCAGCACCTCTTACCCTAGCCCCAACCTTGACCAGAACCTGCTTAGCAGTCAGAACGTCCTTAAAACAGCGATTAAAGGAGGCGCTGCACCAGTGAGGTCTCTGACCTCTTCTCTTATCTTGTAGCATTCTGACCCGAAGATGCTGATTCTTTAACACTGTTAGCTGACCTATGTGTGATAGTGGAACATGCTCTCTGAAACAAACAAGAGACTGTGGTACGCTTTCAAATTTATGTAAAATAAGCTTCTATTTTGTCATTCAAAACCTGATGATGTATTATTAGTAAACTTCTCACATTTGTGTCATGTCCCTTCTTTTGGGAGGTGAACTTGAATTTTAATGGCATGCATATATTCCCACTGTCATTTGGAGATTAAAATGTTACATTGTGAAACCAATGGATGTAATCAACCAGGGCATTGGCAGATTTCTGGAAGAAGGGGAACGTTACAAGACTGAACTTCCCGTATTTTGTCTTGATACATCAATAAAGTCAACATTGTGACCTTAGTGTACAGTTTTGATGCAACTCTGCTCTTGGTGTGTTGGAGTCAGGTCCCCCAGATAGTGAAAATGCATTTATATAATTAGCTAATGAGTATTGCAGCCCAAGTACTTACCGTAACTGCAATATTTTCATTGTTCCATTTGTTTGAAAATGTGAAACTTGCAACATATTCTGCAGCCCTATATCAGATCAAAACAAAGTAGGCATACTTGTGAAGAGAAAGGCCATGCGGTTTTCAATGTCTTGTCATAAGTAATTAAAAATTGTGGCTGTTTTTGTATTCATCCTGTTTTCATCCAGCTTTGAGTCTCAGGACTACATCTTCACTGGCGTTAATCAACAGAGACCAAGGCTTTTCCACATTTGTTTTTAGTATAATACCTCAAACTTGGTTTTGTTAATCTTCTGATCAACTTTTTCCCCCCAGCATGATACTGTCATTACCATGTTCTGTGTTAGGGGCTTCAGGCACTATGGACTGTAAATGACCTTTGTAGGTGAGCAGCTATATCTTAGTAGGTTTGGACTTGTGGCCTGCTTGTCTACTTTTAGGTGATGGACTGAGATGATCAAACTTTTGTATTTTGAGTTAGCCCTGCTTTGAGTGCCTTAACAACTTTATCCCTGATCTGTGTTGCATGTCCCCTGATCATCTTGGTTTTTGTTCATGAATGTCATCAACCAAACCTTTGAGGTCATCACAAAGCAGCTGGATTAATACTGAGCTGATGTCTCTTTATATATTAGGTGAGTTCTAAAAGCAGCTAACTTTGGTAGAAATCATTTGACTTGAGGATTTCCCTCTCAATCATGCACTACTCTGTTGATCTATTAGATAAAATTCAAGCAAAATACATAGAAGTTTGTGGTTAAAACATCACTAAGTGTCACAAAGTTCAAGGGTTATGAATACTTATGCATATTTACTAACATAGTTTTGTAGTAATTTACATCAGCTTACCGAAGAGCGACAGGCACTGAGTTTAACAAGCAGGGACGCCTCCCAACACATATCCTTCCTCTCTGTTCTCTTGGCCCAGAAAGGCCCTTACCAGATGTTGTAAAGGTGTTAGTTTGAGGGCAGGCTGTTGCAGAGGGTACATATGGAACATGGTGATGTCTCTTTCCGCCACAGGATGACGGGCAATTAGGCCTCGTCACACTGGAGGGCCATCCTCTTTATCCCATGCTTCAGACCATTACATTGATTCACCCAATGGATCTGCCAGCCCATTACGGAAGAGGAGACCTTAATGGCCCGGAGATACTTCACACTTAGAAACGTGCCTTCAGTGGAGAGAAAGCTAACTACTTTCAATCCACTCAACATCCTAAGTATTTACATATAAGTGCTATTTTGTAGAAAAGTACATTTGTTTGATTATAACAGAGAAGCATAACTGTTTAAAAATGATTTAAGTTAATTGAATTCAAATAGTTATTGTCATTTCATGTTGATTTTGGATTGTGTAAAGTCATCTTACAATTGTACATAATGTGTTAAAATAAAATGACTTACGTTTTTTTTTCTGAGATGGGTATAATTTTA